ATTACCTCGTGTTTTTATCTTTACTTGAGTCCCACCTGTGTGTGTGGTAGGGGTTCCCGGGTCCTTCCTCCGCCCCACACCACCCCCACACCTCCACCACCCATCCCCTCCCCCCACATCCCTCCACATCCTCCTCCCACACCCCACATCCTCCACACACACATCCCCTCACCCCCCACAGCCATCCCCTCACCCCCACACCCACATCCCCTACACCCCACCCCCCACACACTCTCCCACACCCCACCACACCTGGTAGGCATGCACATGTATATAAGTGACTCATGTGGTTTAAATATACGTGTTAGTTAAGTTTATTAACACGACCGACTGGTGTTAATAGCTCGACAACAACATATTAGAGCTGGACCCCAATAACATGGTTAGGTTAGGCTGGGTTGGGTTGAAGCTAGGTTAGGTTGGGCCAGGCTGGGCTGGAGTTGAGTTAGGTTAGAGCTAGGCTAAGGTTAGGTAAGCTAGGCTGGGTCGTGACTTATTAAGACTGGGGCACATAGATGATCAGTCGAATCTCACAGTTGATTGATTGAATGATTGATTAGTCATGGAATTACGTCATAATACCATTCAGTCAAGTCATTTTGAGGGTTGGCGACCCTGGCCCTCCTCCCCAACCAAAATAGTGGACATCAACAACTTACCCCCAGTCCGTGTGTGTGTCGCAGGGCAGTGTTGGGGAGAAGCTAGCGCGTGAGGAGTTATTGTGGAGGAGAGAGTAATAGGGGGGTGTGAGAGAGAGAGAGAGAGAAGAGAGAGAGAAGAAGTCTGTCGACTTTGGCACGGTGCTGTCATCTCCCTCCCCTGATCACCTCTCATTACTGTCTCTTGACTACTCCTCCCTACTTACCTTACTGTCAGCCTCCTTATCTCCCTACCTCCCTCACCGTCCACCTCCCTACAGTCATCACCACCACCACAGTCATCACCACCACCACCACCACAGTCATCACCACCACAGTCATCACCACCACAATCATCACCACCACCACCACAGTCATCATCACCACAGTCATCACCACCACCACCACCACAGTCATCACCACCACGATCATCATCACCACAGTCATCACCACCACCACAGTCATCACCACCACGGTCATCACCACCACAGTCATCACCACCACCACCACCACAGTCATCACCACAGTCATCACCACCACAGTCATCACCACCACCACCACAGTCATCACCATCACCTAAACTGAGCTGATCGTGTCTATGGGGTCTAATGTAGTCAGGTTTACGACACAAGACGCCCTGGAAGTCAACACGGTAGATGGTGGGGTGGGGGAGAGGGGGGGCTCAAATGTCGTACTGCAGATGTGAGCGACAGTGCCACCACAGTCATGCGTCTGGCACCCTCAGCACCGAGTCTAGACAACTTTGTAGGTAATTTTTTGCGCAATTTTTTGATGTTTCTTTGAAGATCACGAGACATCTTCCGGTGACGTCCATCACTTTTCCTCCCTCTAGTGGTACTCTCTCTCTCCTCACGTTCACCTCCCTCTCCTCACGCCCACCTCCCTCTCCTCACGCCCACCTCCCTCTCCTCACGCCCACCTCCCTCTCCTCACGCCCACCTCCATCTCCTCACGCTCACCTCTACCTTGCCTTGCGTTAATGTCGGAAAAAGAGATCAATGCGCGCGTGTATGTGTGTGTGTGGCTATCGAGAGGGGTGTCTGTTGTAGTGGACGTGATAGTTGTTAAGTATGGCCACGTACAGAAACACACACAGCCGAGTACACGCACACATACACAGCCACGTACAGAAACACACACAGCCGAGTACACACACACACACAGCCGCGCACACAGGTCGCCGGCACCAGGAAGCATATTGTTACAGCTGAAAGTAAATATTATGCCGGTTGGTGACTGACTTTACCGGAATATATAGTGGTGACGTGCTGCCTGGTGACGTGGTTGCTTGCTGCTGCCTGGTGACGTGGTTGCTGCCTGGTGACGTGGTTGCTTACTGCTGCCTGGTGACGTGGCTGCTTGCTGCTGGCTTACGTGGTTGCTTGCCTGGTGACGTGGCCGCCTGGTGACGTGGTTGCTTGCTGCTGCCTGGTGACGTGGTTTGCTACTGCTGCCTGGTGACGGGTTGCTTGCTGCCGCCTGGTGACGTGGTTGCTTGCTGCCTGCCTGGTGACGTGGTTGCTTGCTGCTGCCTGGTGACGTGGTTACTGTTGCTGCTGGTGACGTGGTTGCCTGCTGGTGACGTGGTTGCTGCACTGCCTGCCTGGTGACGTGGTTGATTACTGCTGCCTGGTGACGTGGTTGATTACTGCTGCCTGTTGGTTGCTTGCTGCTGCCTGGTGTGACCGCTGCCTGGTGACGTGGTTGCTTACTGCTGCCTGGTGACGGCTGGTACTGCTGCCTTACTGGTGACTGCTGCCTGACGTGGTTGATTACTGCTGCCTGGTGACGTGGTTGCTTGCTGCTGCCTGGTGACGTGGTTGCTTGCTGCTGCCTGGTGACGTGGTTGCTTACGCTGCCTGGTGACGTGGTTGCTTGCTGCTGGGTGACGTGGTTGCTTGCTGCTGCCTGGTGACGTGGTTGCTTGCTGCTGGCTGGTGACGTGGTTGCTTGCTGCTGGCTGGTGACGTGGTTGCTTGCTGCTGGCTGGTGACGTGGTTGCTTGCTGCTGCCTGGTGACGTGGTTGCTGCTGCTGCCTGACGTGGTTGCTTGCTGCTGCCTGGCTAGTTGTGGTAGTGGTTGTGGTGTGTGTGTGTGTGTGTGATGGTGGTAGTGTGGTGGCAATGGTGGTAGTGTGGTAGTGTGGTGGTGGTGAGGTAGAGATGTGTGGTAGTTGTGGTATGATGATGGTAGGTGGTGATGGTGGTAGGTGTGGTGATTGTGGTGGTGGTGGTGATGGTGGTAGTTGTGGTGGTGTTGATGTGGTGACAGATGGTGGTAGGTGTGTGATTGTGGTGGTGGTGGTGAGTTGTGTGATGGTGGTGATGGTGGTAGGTGTGGTGATTGTGGTGGTGGTGATGGTGGTAGTTGTGGTGGTGTTGATGATGGTGGTGGTAGTGGTGTGATGTGTGGTGGTGGTGTGGTGGTGTGGTGTGTGGTGGTGGTGGTGGTGATGGTGGTAGTTGTGGTGGTGTTGATGATGGTGGTGGTAGTTGTGGTAGTGATGATGGTAGTTGTGGTGATGGTGGTAGGTGTGGTGATTGTGGTGGTGGTGGTGATGGTGGTAGTTGTGGTGGTGTTGATGATGGTGGTGGTGGTAGTTGTGGTAGTGATGATGGTAGTTGTGGTAGCTGCTGGGAGGAAGTACAATCATGTCACCTGAGAGAACTTGTTGTGGGTGCCAGAGCCAAGTTGGTGTTGTCAGGGGAAGGCTGCCCACCTCCCTCCCTCCCTCATACCTAACCTCCATCACCCCCCTCCCCCCCTCACCACCTTGCCAAGAGATCTCACAAGCGTGGTGTGGAATAATACTAATAATAGCAGCGGTGCGCCATAATAATAGTGTCAGGCGAAAAGGTCAATGGTAGATGGTGGTCTTATATGGTAGTGTTGGGTTTCTGTGAGGTGGAGCCTATTAACCATCTGTAGTGACTAGTAGGACACATCTTATAGCCAATAGCACTAATAGCACACGCTGATACAGAACCAAGACACATACAGTACATTACCGTTCTCTCTCTGTCCCTTGTTCCGGTCAGGGGAAACTGAAGTATAATAATTTACTTCTCGTTACACTGAGTTTTGTGTGTGTGAAAAAGATAAATATTGTGCAACACTCTGGTGGACCTGTTGGAGGCTCACCGCACCACCCCTCCTCTCTTATATACGCCATTTGATTTTGTGGCATAATGGTCGTGGCTGCAGCGTGTTGGATTCCCTTGTGGAGAGTTGAATCATCATTGGAGGCATTCTGAATTCCTCCCTCCCTCCTACCCTCTCTCGTACCCTCCCTCCCTCCCTCCCATACCTTTCAATATGTTTCACCAAATGTCAAAAATATTTCCAAATTAGAACAAAATATATTTATTATTGCTAATACAACTTAAAAAAATATAAACATTAATCAGAAAATAGTTTAATCATCAGGTAAAATAAGCTGTGGGGGCGGGGGGGGGGGGCCTATTCTTCAGGTGATGCCAAACAATTTATGTATACAAGTTCTGATGGAAAATTTGGCTGAGTTTAAGTAGTTTTCTTCTGCCTTAGACACTGCTCACCTGCCTACCTGTCATAATATTTTGGTAGAGATAAATACTGGGGTGTTGAGATGTTTACCTGTGTATGTGTTCTCAGTGTCAGGTGATGTGATCGTTTTTTATGCACACATACACCGTGTACGTGCAAATATGTGCGTGTGTGTTTATTTCCAATCTCCAAGGACAGGTCATTGCACTCACCGCCTCCACCCTCGCTGTGGTGGTGGTAGTTGTGGTGGTAGTATTGGTTATAGTACTAATGGTGGTAGTGGTAGTCAGCCATATAGATCTACGGCTTAACTAACTCGGTGGGGTAGTTACGTGTTTGTTAGGATAGTTAGATTATAAAATGTGTAGAAGGCATAACTCAAAATGGAGGTTGGAGCCCATGAAAACGTTGTGGTAGTAGTGGTGGTGGAAGTAGTAGTTGTAGTAGTTGTGGTAGTGGTATATATACACTGGCACCTGCTTGGCACTATGACCTTGACAGCCATGCGAGTGCCACAACTGAGCTCAGTATTGCTACAGTGGCATGTATGTATGTATGTATGTATGTATGGGGTTGTGGTGTATATGTGATTTGTGTACTAACTACCTACATATACGATGATTTATATAATTTAGATACTTGTTTTCAGTACAGAGAGAGACTAGATTTATACAACCTCTTTATTAAACTTTCTCTTGAAACAGACTATCCATGACGGGGATCGAAGGAAACTAGTGTAGTCACCACTCGAATATACAGACTCCTTCAAAGTTACGTTTTCTGTGATGCTAAATTGTATCCGTTCTCTTTCTCAGCCGCTGAACCATGTCCCCCCGGAGTGCCGAGTCAGCTCAGATACTTCAATAACAGGTGAGTTAGCGTAAACGTCACCTTTAAGTCTTATCTGTGTAAATATTAAACAAAACTAAATACATATTGACGCAGTTTTTAAGATAATGTTCTCGTATGACGTTATAATGTCTCCCGGAATATCGTTTACACCACAAAGGGAAATATTTATTCAGTAAAATCGCCATATAAGAGCCCACATTTGTTGACATCATACAGATAATATAAACACTGGTTAACGCTAAATCACCTTCTAAAACACTAAAAGACTTCACCTCGTCATATCAATACCCTGAAACGTAACGTAGGTTTTAACACTCAGCAAGGCATGAGTGTACGCGACCCTTAACTCACAGAAGACTAATTAATGATCAGATGAACCCTTAACACACCCTAAAGGTCATGTAAACAAGGTCTATATTGGTGTATTAACGGGGAAACAGTTTTTAAGTTAGTTAGGCTTAAAATTTTCTTCGTTTTCTTTGAAGCCAACGAAAATATGATGCGATTTGTTTATAAACGTTAATATAATTCTTCATTGGCTGTGATGAGAACGATATTTTTACCACTCGAGTACATTGAATTACCCCTTGAGTACATTAGCTTCACCCCATGAGTGCAATATGCTGTATGTCTTAACCCTTTTAACACCCTGAGTACAGAGTTGTAACACCCCGAGTACAGAGTTGTAACACCCCGAGTACAGAGACTCAACCTCTTGAAAATGATGACTTAATCTCAAGGTTACCATGACATCACACTCAAGAAGTTAAGTCATCGTACTCAAGACGTTTATCACTTCATAAAGTATTAGTTTTCGGCAGTTTATAAGTCATCATTTTGTCATGTAAGTCGAACCAGCATTAAAGTGTGGTAGACATTTGTACACACACACACACACACACACACACACACACACACACACACACAAACACTTGATAACATGTTTTAAGGTGTAAATTCTATAACTGATAATCTTTATTCAAATTGGCGTCCTAAAAACAAGACCTTGGGCGGAATAATAGAGTCAGCTGGGCGTCATCCCTATTTATAGCCACGATGACGTCATTATCCTGGCTAATTTTTGGCGGGAAGATACGAGACAAAAGGTAAACACGCCCGCACAGACACACGCACACAGTAACACATACAGACTCATGCATACATACACGATCCCCCGCCCCACACACACACACACAAACATACATACACTACCTCAGGTCTCAGATAAAGATGTGTAAGTGTTTTAAAAGGGAGTTACCGTGTGTTAATGATTGAGACAGTGAGGTAGGTGAGGTGACAGACACACCAGTGAGGAAGGAGACGGAGGAGAGCTTGTGGCGAGAGATTCGGTGCTAAGGCTGGGTGGAGTCTTGTTAGGTCCAGTGTGTGGGCGGCCAGAGGGAGGGGTAGGAGGATGGAAGGGGGTAAGGGGGAGGGGGAAGGGGTAGAGGGTAGTTATAGGAGAAGGAAGGGGGGATAGAGAAGGATGGGTTAGGGGTAGAGGAGGAGAATGAGGGAGGACAGGAAAAGGAAGAGGTAAATGAAGTGGAGGAACAGGTAGAGGAGTAAGGAGGAGGTGCACCTCAGGAGTGGAAGGAGGAGGAGGAAGGGTATCACCTGCCTCCTCCTCCTCCTCGCTTCTTGTTGCTAATCACTTACCTGGGTCTGTAATCACCTGAGGCATCCACTGCTACCTGTCCCGTCTACAGGAATTCACGAGTCATTTTAGGATGAATAATTGAAGTTACCTGTGAAGTCATTAAGTGTATTTATAGGTGTACAGTATGAGGGTCTCCCCGTGTCACTATGGGTAGGATGAAGCCGTTAATGAATCAATAACCTTGACGAGGTAAGCCGGGGCCGCCCACACACACCTGGTGGTGCTGCTGCCGCCCGCCCACACTCCTCCCGCCCACATACGAGCCGCCTCGACATGGATATTATATACCTGTAACCGACAACCTGTACTCACCTGTATCCTTCGGGACACTTGTTTCTGCATCTCACATGACTGTACCAACACCCCCCCCCCCCACCAGCCTTAAACACCTTACCATTAAACACCTCAACGTTACCTGCGGGTTGTTAAGTCATTAAGGTGGTGAAAATAAGGATTAATTAATAATAAATAAAATATAAAAGATTTATTAATAAGAAAATACAAAAAATCATAGTTTACTTAATTCTTGGTCATATAACTGTGTGTGTGTGTGTGTGTGTGTGTGTGTGTTCATCCATAGACGTTAATATTACATAATCCTTCCACATTCCTGACCTCACTCGTGTTGGAGATGTTGGTGATATAGTGATGGTGGTGCCTGGGGCCATCACACACACACACACACACACACACACACAGGTAAGGGACGAAGGAAGGATAGAGGCAGAGAGGAGGAGGAAAGGAAGGGGAGGAGGGGAGGGGGGAGGACTTGATAATACCTGCAGCTTATTGTGAACGGATGGTGGGTGAGTGTACATGTCACTGAGCTCTGAATAAATTGCTCCACTCTCTCTCTCTCTCTCTCTCTCTCTCTCTCTCTCTCTCTCTCTCTCTCTCTCTCTCTCTCTCAGGACATCCTCGACGCGGTATCAACTCAAATTGATCTCCCGGATTAGGAATAGGAGCCGAACACTTGGATTAAAATAACGGGTTAGGATAGGTATAGGATAAGTTAGGTTAGGTTTATGTCAACGTACTCAAGAAGCTAATACGTTTGTACTCAAGGTGTTAATGCCATCGTACTCAAGGAAAGGGTTACAGTTGTGTCGTAATGTTTGGCGCCTTACACCGCCCTCTTGTTATTTCCTCTCCTTGTTGTTGATGCTTCTCGGATCCTTCCTCAGCTGGTGGGTGGACAGACAGACAGACAGACAGACAGACAGGCAGACAGACAGACAGATAGATATATAGATAGATAGATTTGTTCTTAAACTTAACTTTAGCCTTTGAATGGATAAGAACTGAAGGTACAGCATAGGTGCCACTGACGCGTCACTCACTCGTCAATATGTTACACTGGACACGTGATAGCTAGTCATTGGGGTTGCATGTTGCACTCACCTTTGCAATAGGATCCTGGTTGCCACGCCCACATTCCCAGACGCCGCCAGGGGCCGCCTACACGGTCCTGTATATTGTGATGATGTACGGAGACTGATGGCCGCTTTATGTAGGACGGGGTCACCTGTAGGGGCTGACCTAGGGGTGCTGGGGGCTGACCTGGGATACTCTGGGGTGACGTGAGGGCGCTTGGGGGTGACCTGGGGGCACATAGGATGGTGACCTGGGAGCACATGGGATGGTGAACTGGGTGACCTGGGAGCACCTGGGTGGTTACCTGGGAGCACCTGGGTGGTGACCTGGAAGCACCTGGGGCGTCTTACCTCACACACTGACACAGGATGTTGACTTAACACACTCCCACGCTACAGTACGTGATGGTGCCTGGATAAATGGGCCCCAGTCCCCATGGGCCCCAGAGCTAATAGACCAAATCTCACTGGGCTCCGGTAGTAGAAGGCTCCAGTCTTAGTGGGCCCTCGTCCTATTGGGCTTCAGTGCTAATATACCTCAATTCTATTAAGCCCTAATAAGTAAGACGGGTTAGGTTGGGGCCTATTAAGCCTGGGGTCCAATCGGACTTGGATCCACCAGGACTTGGACCCAATTGACCTACAAATGACTCTCTCTCTGGGAATAATTTTATGAGTGTTGTGACTGTGTGGACTAGCAAGCGGTGGTGAGGTGTCATTAACATTCTGCAGGGTAGACCTGGCTGACTGACTGGTGGCGGCAGGAAGCATCACCAAGGTAGAGTCTGAGTAATTTAGTCACCATTTTGATTATTTTTACTATTAATACCTTTTTTTCAATATTATTTTTTTATTCTCTTTAAGTCAGCTTAAGAGTTCTCCGAGAATTTAAACAAAGGTGATATAACAAAGGTACTCAAACTATTCAACCAGGAGCGAACTCGCAACAATGGTTTTAGAGTAGTGGATGAGTGGAACAAGTTACCAAACATCATCATTAACTCGAATACGCTGGATAGCTTCAAACATAGGTTGGATGGATATATGAGCAATAGGGGTTGGGTGTAAATGGGACTGCCTTTAGGATGGGTCAATAGGCACGCTGCAGTTTCCTCTAATCTAATGTCCTTACCTACCTACCCCGTTTATATATTCAGGGTGTCTCAGAAAAATTTTACAAACATTCAAAGCAATATAGACCTGTGTGTATGCATTTATCTGAGACATCCTTAGTTGTGATAACCTTCCAGTATAGAGAGTGGCTACAACACTCACCACATGTCCTGGTTCACCCTCAGGGCACCCCACAGTTCACCCAGCTGTGATAGGGTGTGGTGCTGCTTGGGAAGTGATAGTGGTCAGGTGCAGTGCCGGCCACCACACACTATACTTGTGTATGATGACTTCACTCCCATGATAACAACAACAATAACAGCAAATGAGATATTGATGTGTGTGTGTACAGTAACACCCGCTTCAGCCAGCTCTCACACTATGCATTATATCTGACCTATGAATATATTTACATTTTTCTAACGCACACACACACACACACACACACACACACACACACACACACACACAAGACAGCGGGTGGTTTCCTCACTCAATAAGTACTTGAAGCAGTGGAACAAGTTATAAGCAGGCGCTAAGATTGCGCAGGAGTTTGTAAGTCAGATTTAAGTAACTTTTATACGTTTTAAATATGTCAGTTTGTTAAGTAAGTCTTAGAAGTAATAAAGTAATGGTATTAAGTAAATGAAGTTGGTATCGTACCCGGGGGGGCTGGTATCGTACTCAGGGGGCTGGTATCGTACTCAAGAGGTTGGTATCGTACTCGGGGGGCTGGTATCGTACTCAGGGGGCTGGTATCGTACTCGGGATAAATACCAATAGGAACAAGTTGGCCACCAATGTCTTGGGTCCCTCCATGTGGCGATAACTTCCTGATATATGGAGGGAGAATATTGATTATCTCTCTCTCTCTCTCT